TTGACAATGTATGTATTTGTAATAAAACAACAAATACGATGGCATAATCTTATGGTTTGATGTAATTATTATTTAGTTTAACTAAATTCGACTTTACAAACAGGTGGCAACCCTATTCGTAATATTTTTATGCTAAAACCTCCTTAAACCTCTTCCGTCTGACTCCCTTATGGTGATACCTATCTATTTCAATTACCTAATTCCGTTAATTCAAGTGAAATTTGATTTTTAAACAGGTGGCAACTCACTGCATGTAGTTAATACACATTTCGATTGATACCCAACTCTTAATAATTCATTTAACTTATAAAAAAACTTGAATCTAATTTTTTAACAATCTAGTTTTTTAACAGATGGCAACTCTTTAAAAATAAAATAAATCTTCTATTATCTACAGGTCAAGCTTTTTAATCTAATACTTCATTTTTGAAAATGGATCGAATTATGCAGATCTCAAGGCACTTCTAAAAAATGAAAAAATAATTTTATGCATTAGGGAAAAACGCATTACTTCAGAAAGTGCAAAGAATGAGCAGGTTTTTATTTCTTCTTTTGAAAGCTAAGAGTTCGTACTAATTAACAAAATAATAAAAAAATAACGTATTTTTACATATATTTTTTATTCATTCCATTAAAATTTACCATTTTTTGAAATTTTGCTTAAAAAAAATTGTTTTCTGGAATACCACAGGGGCACCCTGTGTTTAATTTTATTCCAAAATTTTAATTCCGGTAATTCTCTACTATCTATATGGAAACAAGAAACGTCAAAACAACATTTTATTTCAAAGAATATATTTTTGACATTTTTTTCTATGAAGAGCTTACGCATGTCTATGCTCTTATTAAAATTCTTAGTGTAAAATTTGTCGACTTTAGTGCCCTCCTGGCGGCATATAATTTATTTTTTAGGGAAATGTCTGTTTAATCCTTTTTAGTGGATAAATTGTCTTTAAAAAATACCAAACAAGTTCACATTGTAGATAACGAATTTTTCGATTTTTACCCACTTGCGCCGTGTTAAAAATATCAGTCGCTAACATTGAAAAAGGATACAACTTGAACTAGTTGGGCTGAAACGCAAACTGGTAGCATTCTGGTTCACAACTGGTAGCTTTCCCTGCAGGGTAGCTTTGCATGAGAGTTGTCACATAAGAATCTGTTAAACAGGCTTTGCGTGTAAGCGGTTACCCAACGCATAGTACTTAACAAGTATAATTCTGTTGGGCTTTGATTTTTACTTAAAAATGATATAGCAGTGCAAGTATGCATAATTGGGCTATTAGAAGTCTGCTGGGATTTGATTTCTACTTAAAAATGGTATAGCAGTGCATTCACTGCCAAGAATGCATAACAGAGCCTTGACACTCGCGTTTGTTATACCCGAGCGCACTTGTGCACAAGTTTATAAAAACTTTGTTTACATAACAGTTGTTTGTAACAGCCAAAACGAATCGAGATAGATATAGACAAATGTATACATAAATGATCAGAATGAAAAGAAAAGTCGATTAAGCCATGTCTGTCTGTCTGTCTGTCTGTCCGTCCGTCCGTCCGTGTACACGATAACTGGAGCAAAAATTGGGATATCTCAACGAAATTTGGTATGTAGATTTCCTTTTATCCAAGATAGGTTGGCATTGAAAATGGGCGAAATCGGACCGTAACCACGCCCACATCCCATATACCGATAGTTTTCAGAAATACGAAAACTGCGATACTACTGAAGCTTATTCACTGAAAATTGATATTTACAATGATTTTTAGACGTAAATAAGAATACTAAAAAATTTTGGAAAATGGGCGTAGCCACGCCCACTTATGATTACATGTGTATACCTTGGTGTTCTCGACACCAATTTCTCCCAAACTTGGCACAGTTGTTAGCCTTGGCAAAACATACCAGAAGGCTGATAATTTTTAAAATCGGACAATAACCACGCCAACATCCCATATAGCGGTTATTTAGAAAAACTAACTACAAAAGCTAATTTATTGAATTGATGTTTGCAATTACTCTTTAGCAAAAAACACGTTTATGATAAAATTTTGGAAAATGGGCATGGCACCGCCCTTTTATGACCAGGTATGCATATTTCGGTAACCGTTCGATCAGTTTGTACCGAATTGGTACGATTATTGAGCTTACCACATAAATGCAAAAAGTTAAAAATTATTGAAATCGGACTAAAATTACTCCCAAATTTGATATAACTGTAAATTTCAGAAATTCTTGAAACTTCGATGTTTCGAAATTTAAGGACGCTAATTTACTCAAAATGTATACTAACAATCCCTTGAAAAGAAGTAACATTATTATAGAATTTTGGAAAGTGGGCGTCTTACTATCGAAATTGTTAGAAATAGGAGTAGAACCTCTCTTCTTACCGGAAATGATAATCCCGGAATCCCGGTCCTTTTAAGGTCTCGAAAATCTCGGGATTATTTGCCTAGAATCCCGGGTTTTTCGGGATTTGTAATTTACACTGGTGGCAATAATAGAAACGCTCTATGTTGAACAGTTTTAGCTATATTTCTTTTGTTTATTTAATATTTAACATTTTTTATAAATGTGTAGCTCAATATACATATCACACCTTGCGGCAGGCAATTTTGCACAAAAAAAAATAATAATATATTCGCCAAACCAAGGGCCAAATATAGTTAAATTGCGTTCTTAATTTTTCTCTCTGACGTCAGAAATTTTAAAGATATAAGCAATTGAAAAAATGATTTAAAATTTTCAGTGAATATACTTAAAAAACCAGTATGGGTATCAAATGAAGGAGAAGATTCAGAGTTAAAACACATAACATTTTTTGGTGCCCTTTTATAATTTAATCCTCGAAATCCTTGAAATTTTTCGTTACTTATTTTTGAAAAAATTATGTGTTTAGGACTAATTTTATTAGCTTAAAAAAATAAAATAGATTAAAGGGACATTTTCAATTCCTATTCGTCCTTGTGAACCCAAAAAAAATATTTCATTTGGTGCCCATACTTTTGTTTTACATTGCACTGAATTTTTTTAAACAAATTTTGTAATTAACCATATCTTTGAAATTATAATGGGCCCTAACCGCCAAAATAACGTAAGTGAAATTTTTTTCAAAATCTTCGTTTTGATGCAGAAATGCATCTAGATGCTCTAGGAATATTTCTGCATCAAAAAGAAAATTTTGAAAAAATTGCGCTTACGTTATTTTGGCGGTTAGGGCTCGATAAAGTCTTTTTAATAAAACCATGACGTCAGAGAAATGCCCATTTATATGCAGTTAATTATGTGAAATATGAGGTAGACATTTATAAAAAACAATTAAATTTTGGATTAACAAAAGGAATATAGAAAAACTGGTCGAATTAAGGCGCTTCTTTTATTCCTGCCACCAGTATATGAACGTATTTCAACCAGAAAATAAATATTTTATTTTATTTCTTTTTGCGTCGAGCATTTTTCGACATACCCAGGGTTGCCACTGACGAAAAAAAATATTTACCATCCACTTGGAAAAAATCTACCAAATCTGGAAAATATCAACCAATAACCTTTTTTTACATGGTGACATGGTATTTGAGATCATATTAATGGCATCTTCGCGGTTTTTCTTAAACCAAAAGCGAAAGTGGTGAAACTAAAGGCAACAACGAAACTTTATCATTAAAAAAGCGCTTGGTATTTTTTTAAATATTTTAAGTAAACATTTTTTTGTTCTTTTTTTATAAGAAAATGGTTTTCGCTTTAACTAAACGCATACAAATCAAGGACGTTTACAACATTCCGAAAAAATCAAAAATATTTCGTCAAAATTTCGAACTTTTTACTCTGATTTTTTAGAACTATTTTCGGTGTGCATGGAATTGTGTGTAACCAACAATGTGCAGCTAAAAACTCCATTTGATTCAAAAAATATATTTGCCGCCGGAACTTTGTGTTTTAATTTTCATTTGATATTTATAAAAACTTGCGGTGATTTTATATTTTTTTTTGTACAATCATAGCGTGTAAATACAAGCCTGTCCATTTTTTCTTTTTTTTAAAGAAACATTTAAAATGCTCAAATGTTCAAAGGCTCCTCAAGATTTCAGTGAAATGAGTTTTTAATGGAGCACGATTTGTTCGCGTTTTATCGATATACATACTCACATATGTAAATATGTTTGTATGTACGTATATAAAAAGTGTGCATTAAGCATTCCAAAATTAATGCAATAAAGAAGACTACACTTTTGGAAATAAAATCATAATACAAAGATAACTACGTAAAATAAAGCGGGAACAAAATTTTAGTCGGTTTTCAAATAAAATACTTTAACAAAAGTGTACCAGAATGAGAAAAAATTTACCTTTTTACCAACGCAAATTTTTTCTACCAATTTTGGTAATAATTTACCAAAGTGGCAACTCTGGTTGTACCTTAAGTTACTTTATGAGAAATGTACACACTGAAGTATTTTAAATTCATATAAATTTAATTACTGTCTTTCGTTTTGTTACTTATGAAATAATGTTCACTTTAAATCAAAAATACGTTTCAAACCCATTTACTTACTGTTTATTATATGGTAGGAGAGCTTCTCAAACCATATTGATGCAATTTTTTCATGTTAAGTCGTTGAAAAATAATAAATATCTAAATCCCGGGACTGATCCCGGGATCCCGGGATTGAACCAACGACACTCCGAAAATCCCGTGATCGTAAAAATCGAAAAATTAACATCCCTACTTCTTACCATGCAACGGTAGTTTTCAGAAAGGTGAAAAACTATATTTATTAAAACTGTTATTGGGCAACTTTTATAGCGTTCTAGACAATAAAAGGAATCAATCTAGACGTGGCAGGTTTATGTGCTCTCATTAGAAAATAGTAAAAAAAACAACTTCTTTAAAAGGCTACGACCAGCACATCGTCTGCAATTGGAAAATGTAGCCAAACACGTGTGTGCTCCATTGTACAGTATACTATTGAACTATGATCCTCTTACACCACTTTTTTCTTACCTATTAAATGAACGGCCACTGCAGGTGGCATCACAAATATCCCCACCAGCAGATCAGCTACAGCCAAACTCATCACAAAACAGTTCGTGACCGTTTTTAGACGACGCGTTGTTATAACGGCCAGTATGACAAGCGTGTTGCCGATGATAGTGACCACAATAAAGGTGCTGAAGACAGCAATTAGACAAATGCCCTGCCACGACAGCATCAAGTCGTAGAAACGCGCCCATTCCTCGTCCGCGTCAATGGTAGTTGTGACGTTCTTCATAGTATTGGTCATAAACACTATTGGGGGAGGGTTGATGATATTGCTGAGAGATGTTGTGTTGGCACTGACATTTGCTGTCAACACCAGCGAGCGATTGATGACATCCAGCTCGTACGCACCATACACGAGCGTGTTGGTAGTTGAATCCATGTCAGTTATGGGAGTGTGCAGCAGAGCCAATGAGCCATTGTTGCTGTTTTCATGGTGATTGTTATTATTGTTGGCACTGTAATACATCTCATATGGCATTTTTAGTGTTGTTTTCTTGAAAATTGCACTCCGCGTGTTCCCTGGTGATGAGTTATTCACGTATTTTTGCGGCGAGCTGTAGTCATTCACATTACTATTTCCAATTGATACTCTCCAAATGGTGGTACATAAGTTGTCGTCGAAATTTATATCGGACAGTCGAGCTTTCATCATTGACTTTCATTTGTAAGTTTTTGGTGATGTAACTTAACCTTTTTAAGCAGGATTGGATGAGTTTATGGATGGCCACTGAAAGATAAAAAAATATTTATAAATTGGGTGAGTTTTTTGGAAAATAAATTAAGTAATATCCTTTAATTTCAATGAATGTAAAGTAATGCAATTAAAATAAATGAATGACACTATTCGGCAACATTTTATAGCCCCCTGGACCAGATATACACATAGTGCAGCAATTCATCGGCTCCGCTGGCTTGACTATGTCGTTCGAATGGAGAGAAACGCTCCTGCTCTGAAAGTATTCAACGCAGGCCGCGATGCTTGTAACAGAGGAAGGCCCTATCTGCGTTGGGAAGACCAGGTGGCACTTGGCATTTCTAACTGGCGTCAGTTGGCACAGAAGAGAAATGACTGGCGTGCTGTTTTGAACTCGGCCGAAATCTTTTAGGTGGTTACAGCGCCAATAAAGAAAGAAAGAAGAAGAAGAAGTCTTTATTAGAGCTACAGAAGCCAAATCAACAATTTTTAGAATTTTTGTCTGTCTGTATGTTTGCACGCGTATCACCCGAAAACGAATGCATGGAATCTAATTCATTTTTCACTGATGTATCGCTAGTGGTCTAATTTACATTATAGAAGCAACAAAATTAGAGAGTTGCAACTTGTTTGAAAATTGATACGGTAAAGTAAATCAAATAAAACCCCTCTTTGAGGTAAAATTTTCGAGTGACGAAAGCTGAACTAGAAACACAAAATTTATGATATCAATTTCGTGACGAAAATTATACGCATTTTTTAACTGCCTTTCAAACGTAGGGAAAATCCTTTTTATTCATACGAATCGTTGCAAAAGTTCTGTTTTTTTTTTCAATTGTGTTTCTAGCAATAAACGAAAATTCGCAACGTTCCGAATAAATAAAAAAAGATTTTCCGTACGTTTGAAAGGCAGTTAAAAAATGCGTATAATTTTCGTCACGAAATTGATATCATAAATTTTGTGTTTCTAGTTCAGCTTTCGTCACTCGAAAATTTTACCTCAAAGAGGTGTTTTATGTGATATCAATTATTTTGGGGTAGCAAATTTAAATTCGACGAAAATACAAACAATAAACTAAATGCTCTATTTTTCTCAAATAAATTGCTAAAAATATTCTCTAAATCTAAATTATGTATTCAAATCGATGTGTCCATTGAAACACATANTTTAAACGACGATATAATTTTTCGAATACGGAATAAAATGAAAAAGAATGATCATATCCTTTGTATTCGAAAAAATTAAAAAACAAAATAAATAAAAATTATGAGAAATGATAAAAACTTATCAACTTGGTACCAACTTTGGATACAATAAACAACTGTATTCGTCTGATTGCCTAGTAGTTTAATTGTTGTTAAGATTTGTACTGGGTGTGGAGCGCACACATGTGCTTTTTTTAAGAAGTTTTACTTCTATCACGTGTACGA